CCCTCCCTCATTTTAATTTTTGTTATTGAGTTATTTATGTATTTTTTAGAACATAAAGGTAAGTTTATTTTGTATCAGAGAAAGGGAAGAGATGAGAGAGAAGAGATCAGAGAGTAGGGAGTGAGAGGGGCAGGTGGGGGAGAGTATAAAGAAGTCATAGAACGGGGGCGGCATCTCAAAGAAAAGGAGAACGAATGCCAGCCTCTCCCTTTTTCTTTTTTTCTTTTTTTCTTTTTTGCAGTTTTAGCCGGGGCTGGGCTTGAACCCACCACCCCCAGAGGTGGGGGTGGTGGCCAGAGCCTTACTCCTTGAGCCACAGGTGCCGCCCCCTCTCCCTTATTTTTAAGAAGTCATTTCCTCAAAGGCAGAAATCATGGCTTGCATAGATTTTTCTTTCATTTGGGGCCTGGCCTATTCTGGATCTGTGATGAATATTCCATATGCAGACGATGATATTACAGAGTGAGGATGTGGTTTCCTGCCTAAGGTGACGCTCACTAGGGATCAAGGCACTACAACTCAGCTTCCACACACCTTCACCCTGACAGTTTAGGTAGAGAGAATTGACCTGATGGGCCCTCGATGGCGGCCCCATTACATACTGGTGATATCCTTGGGTTAGGAAGGCTGCCATTTAACTCAGTAAGCCCATCACTTTCCTCGGAATTCTTTGCAGAAGACCCACGTGCTGGGGGTCTGCAAGCATCCAAGAGGGCAGAAGTCCACAGAGTTACCAGAAGACTCCAAGCGCTAGCTCACATGCTCGGATTGACTCCTGGACGAGAGCTCTCTAGGATAAAATCAGAAACAGTTGTCCAAGTAACCAACAATCCTGTGGCCTTGGGGCCACATGTGGCCTTCTGGATCCTTGAGTGTAGCCTTTTGAGTGAATCCAAATTTTATAGAATAAATCCTTTTAATAAAGGGATTTGTTTTGTGAAGTTTGGATTCAGTTGAGGGGCTGCAACTGGTGATCTGGAGGGTCACGTGTGGCCTTTGAGGCCACAGGCTCCCTACCCCTGCAAATGTTTTACTCAAGAATTGACATCCAACGTGGGTTTTGAAGTAGTTGGATAACATCGCTCATAAATGACACGAACTCTGGAGAAAACAGGCAGGATTTCTTTAAAGCATGATGCTGCCTGCATCCCTCTACGTCCACTGTGGGACGAAGGCCACAACGTCCCAGACAGGAGGAAGCAGCTCATGAGATTGCTGAATGTATAACATGGTGACTATGGTTGATAATGATGTATTGAATACTTGAAAGTCTGGAGAGTAGATTTGGTGTTTCTATCACCAGAAAAAAAAAAATAGCATGTGAAGTAACGCTCATTGATTAGCTCGATTTAGCTATCTCACAATGTCTGCACGTTTCAAAACATCACAGTGTACACCTTAAATTATACAATTTTTATCTATCAGTTAACGAATAAAATTTTTAAAATCTATCTCTTTTGTTTATAGTATATTTATTGGACAAAGTGATTTTAAAGATAAAGCAAACAAATAGGAACTCTCCAGATAAAGGCTGTCTTCCAGCAGGTGTGTATGACAGTCTCCCACACAGCAGCCCCCAGCCTGAAGGCCTCACACAGAGAAGGCACACCTGCCTCCTGCAACCTTGGTTTTCCCAGCTCAAGGGCCTCCCAAGGCATTAACACCTTAGTCTTCCTAATGTCTAGAAGGAGGAGGCGGCCTACAGGCCCATCACAGCCTCAAGGCCCAAGAGGATTCTAAAGTCAGCTTCTAGATCAGCTCCAAATTCTTAATCCTTGCCAATATAATGCCCAGGGGTGGGAGGGGAAAGAGCGTATACTGCACATTTGATGACTAATATATACCATATATTTTTGGAAATGTTGGTTTCAATCTACTTAGGAAGCAGAAGTACGGAGGGCTGCAGAACAGGTGTGGAGGCCCAGACCCCCAGGATAGGGGACCTCCACCCCAAGAGCTACGAAGAGGCTGCAGCTCAAATGGGTGACTCAATTTTGGTCAGTTTGATGTTCTTTTCTCACTGTTTTCAAATGTGCATATCATTATCAGCTGAACGCTCATCAAACCTCCCCCTCGGCTTCCTTCCTGGCAGGGTGTGGATCACAGGACCGCCCACACAGTGAGTGAGTGACATTCCCTGCCTGCTCCCAGCAGCTGAGGTGCACCGTGCCCCGGCTCTTGAAGACCCCACAGCCCTGCAGCCCCTTCCCGTCCTCACCTTCCTCTTCCCCTCCATTCTGCCCTCATTCTCAGATCCCCCCGGGCCATCTGATCCTTACTTCCAGGGACCCTCTCAGTCCCAAACCAGCCCTTCATGATGGATGAGGAGGAGTGACTGTAATGATTTCACTTCCTCCCCTTGGGGAGTCCCCCTCTCTCTCTTCCCCAACCTTTTACCTGGGTGAGCAGAATAATGATCCTCCAAAGATTCCACCTCCTGGCCAGGCGTGATGCCTCACACCTGTGATCCAGGCAC